AATATATTTTTTTCCATATATATGTATGAAAAATCCAATCAATCTTGTTAGACATTAATGCCATAAGTTACCTGTTGTGTATGTTTCTATGTATATATGTGCGTGAAATGGCAGAAGACAATAATTTCTGTTACTCACGTATTGACTCAACGAAGAACAACATTGTGAGCATGTAGCCTGATGATTTCTTCTTTTTTTTTTTTCTACTGTTTTTTTTTCATATACTGCTCACTTCGCTTTCTTCATGTCTTTAAATAAAGTCACTGTCTGTTAAGCGAGTAAAATAAAGAAAGAAGAATATGAATGATTAAAAAAAAAGAGAATCTTCTTATTTATTTTCAACATTAAAATTTTATTCTAACTATTGATTTAATTGAAATTAGATAGAAGAAAAAAATTAATTGAACAAAAATAACTATATTGAAAATTTTTATAAGTCTCTGCATAGAACATACAACAAAAACAAAAAAACCCTACATACAAGTAGTACACGAAAAAAAGTGACTATTATTGACATGACCGAATTCAAATCGTGTTTTTTTGTTTAGTTGAATAAATAATGAAAAATTTCAAAAAAAAATAAAAAAGTATTATAAAACGTTTGCAGACGATGATGATAAACAAAATAGAAAAGTAAATACATGTATTCGAGGCTTGTATAAGTACAAAAAATATTATCTTATAGCAAATATATATTTCTTTTTTTGTAATAATATTTATTTTTCACTGTAATATTTTCTTTTTTTTTTGTTAAAATGAACTAAAAGTTTAATGTTTCAAAAATATATTCGAATGAATGATTGACTAAAAGAAGACAAGAAAACAAAAGTAATAAAATATTGATGTGGATTTATTCAAACGAATTTCTCTTCATAATATATTCAACAATGATCATATAATTAATGAGATGAATTGATAATTTTTAATTCTTATTTTATTTACGTCGAAGAATTAAATGGAAAATTTTTTTTGATAAAATTTATCTTAGATTTTGTTATATGAAGTTGACAGTAGTTATTAGAAGAAAGAAAAGAAATTTTGATGGAAAGGTCTTTAAGTTAAATTTACTTGTTCGGTTGTCTTTAACAAACTAAAAAACAAAGAGTAAACTCAATTGTATTTTATTTTAATGCTTTTATATAGTATATGTAGACATTTTCAAAACATTTATTTATAATATTTTGACACATTCGTCGCGATATAAATATTGGTTTTTCATAATTTGTGAAAAGTTACATTTCTTCATTCAAGATAATTGTAATACTTCAAAACAGTTTTTATCAACGTTTCTCTTATGAATATGAATTACGAACATTCCTTTATTAGTGGTAAAAGAACCAAACTTTTCCGTCAAAATATGGCAGAGATATCCAATTTTTTCTGCGGTAAAGGAAGTTTTGGGTCACTTTATAGTGGGTCCCACCAGTGGGACACATCGCGTCGAATGTGTTAATGAAAAGCAATTATTTGAAATTGATAAAGTTTCTAACTTGATTATCAAAACTTCTCGATTAAATGTAGAACTGCTTACTTAATATCGATATCATTAATCCAATGACTTTTTTTTCTTTTATAGAATTAATTGAATAGAATATCTTTTTTTGATCTTAAACATATAAAACTAATTCTATCGTTTGAAAGATAAATTGATTATATTAATCCTTAAAAATAATGAAGCAAAAAATTTTTACTTAATTTTAATCATACATACTGTCTATTGTAAATAGAATATCAATCTTCAATATTTATTGAACTAAAATTTTGTTTTACTTGTTTTTTTCAAATTGTATGAATGACTAATATTTATACTCATTTATTATTGATGCTTAATATTTGATTCACTGTTTATGAAATAAAATGTCATCGATTCAGATTCCTGAACAAGCAGTCAAACGAATCTTTATAAATTATTCTATAACTTATTTGATTGATGATTGTTATATACAGTATGATTTATTAATAAGGCTAGATCAAAAAGTACAAAGATTAATTCAACAACAATGTATACATATCACCATTGATTATGATCATATTATTGAATCTTCTCTTGTATTTGAAATATTATCTCAATTAGAAAAATAAGAAAGTCACTATTTTTATACGAAAAATTTCTACTGCAGCATTATTAAGTCTATATTTGATTCATACAGCTGTTTTTTTTTTTACAAAATACTTCGTCATTTGTTATTTTCTTTCTAGAAGATTTGACCGAATGATGACAATATCCTACAGTACTTATCGCATATAAAAAATTGATTATATTCGCATCAGAATATTTACTTTAATACTTAAAAAAAAATCAACATATTTTCAAGAGAACAAATTCATGTTTTTTCATGCCTCAGTATGTTTTTTCCTTTCGTTTCTTATAATAAAATCAATAAAATGTCTCCTTCCTCTGCCCAACGAAGAGCAATACGATTATAATATCGCTTGATCTTTTTTATATGTATTACTTAAAAAAATATTTTTGCAAAATCATATCGTAATATATACAATTATTCCATTCTGAAGAGTATGATTACATACAATTAGCATAAGAGTAATAGACGTATATATATATATATACAGCTGACTGTCTATGTTTCTTCAATACTTCAGTAGTAAATCGGTAGTTATTATAGGATGCCATGTTTAAATGATTGTTCGCAAGTTGGTATATGTTCATTTAATGATACATGTATATGCTCACCATGTTATATTGGCAATAGTTGTGAGATAAATACTAATGTAATACAATTTTCATTGACATTTGCAATGCACTGGGATATTCGACAAGCATCATTAAATTCAAATTTTAATACACCAGGATTTATTTATACAACTATCATTGCTCTAATGTTATTCATGGCTGTTATAAATAACATAGTATGTTTACAAACTTTTCTTTTACAAGATATACGTTTAACTAATTGTGGTATGTTACAAATATTTTATTGCATATCAGGTTTAATTGCCATAGTTGGTATGCAATTGAGAATGTTAACTATGTTAATATTTGATGAATTAATACAAGCTTATCCTTATCGATATGCAGCATGTAATATAATTCCTGTTATTGTTATACTAATGGGTACTGTCTGTATGTGGTTGAGCTCAATATTAATAATAGAGTTTGTTCTTTTGGAATGTTTTAATTTAAGTTTATATCGATCTCGACGGTTTTCTGTTATATCATCAATCATTTGTCTTTTATTAACAATTGGTACACATATGCATGAAATAATTGCCCGACATCCATTACCTGATCCAATGCATCCTGATTCATATTCATGTACATTTGCTTATCCATTACCATTAGATATAATTGATAAAATTCTTCGTGTATGTCATATTATTATTCCACTTGGAATACAGTTTATTGGTAGTATTTGTATACTTATTAGTATAACACGACGTACTTTACTTGTTCGTGATCGTTATGATTATTGTCAAGTATTTATAAGTGAATTTATAAAACGTAAACATTTCTTTGTTCCACAATTATTTATTATTTTATCAAATCTTCCTCATTTAATTCTTCATTTAAAAGATCCATGTGAAGATGCTCCAGATATACCACTTTTACGAATACATGTTGCTTTTAATATTCTTGTTTATTTACCACCATCAATGACATTTTTTATTTATATATTTCCATCAAAAAGTTATATGCATAAATTTGAGAAAACATTTTTGGGACGTTTGTTCAAACGAATATTTCAAAGAAATAAAGAGAAAAAACCATATGAATGGAATCAATTAATAATGATATATCGTACGAAATTTATTACATTAGTATCCCACACAAAACAAACAATAAAAACTAATATTTTATGTTAATACAAAAACAAACAAAAATTTTTGTTTTCTCGAAATGTTAGCAGAAATGTAGAAATCATTTTTATTGTAAGTGATGGGATATCACTAAGACGTTGTGTCTGTTTTTTTTCAATTCTTTTTTTTTTTCAACATGTTAACATGGAAAAAAGAAATATTTAATATAAAATGAATAAAATCTTGTCACTGTTTATAAATATTATGAAAAATTCTTCAACCGACTATTATATAAGGACTATAAGAAAGTTTTTCTTTTTCTTTTTCTTTTAAAGAATTTAATCCGATAGAAGAAGATCCAAAGAATGATCAGATTATACCTAAAGTCTGGAATCTTTAATAATTGATAATGATTAATTCAAAAAAGAAAATTTTTCAAATGTTTCATTTTACTAACGATTATAATTAATAACAAAAGAATCCATCTAATTTTCTTTTTCCGTTTTCCACCTACTACTTATCATTATTATTTTCTCTTCATTTTATCTATAAAATGCAAAGAATAATATAGAGAAAAAAAAAAAAGTTCATGGTAACAAGATTTCTTTTTTATTATTTTTATTGCATGTTATAATTTTTCTTAATCATCTTGAACAGTTACTTCTATTTAAAGTACTATTATTTTTGACAGATCATCATAATCTATTCATAGAAAATTGTAGCAAATTGATTCAGTATATAACTTGTTAGGAAAGATAAAAATTGAAAAACTGCGCATTATTATTAGAAACACCGAAAGCGATGCGAACATCACATAAAATTTTTGATTATGCATTGTATTCTATTTTTCTTTCTTTTTTTTCTTCTTCCTCTTCTTCTCACATTTGTAAGAGTTTCTAGTCTTAAGACAACAAGACATTCGTCGTTGTTTTGATGCACAATTATATATGAAAGAGACGATAATACAATATATAATGATGTATATAGATATAAAATGTTCTTACTTCCCTATCTGACAGCAATAATAATATAGACGTAACACTACAAAAATATTCTTTTACATATTTTTCAGATGTTCTGTCTCCAACGTCATGTCCCGTAGAGTGCACACGATGAATGCTAATATGGTTTCTTGTTTTCTTTTCATCCAAGTATTCTTTTTTTTTCTGCTATTGATATAAAAGATCGTATTCAACATTCTTCATCATTTATAAATATTAGACGTGTAACAAAAAAAAAATAACATGTTTTCACATAGAGATACATCTTTAAAACCACCAAATACTCATAACTATTCTACTAATTCTTACAATCAACGTTTATTACCTACAAATCCTTCATACGATTCTCATTACAGTTCAGCACCAAATGTTGCTTTTTATTTTGATAACCAGGTAAATATAAAATCAAACTATTTGCATTTAAAGTCGTCAAAGAAGAATATTTATATCTTTTTTTTTTGTTTTTTATTATATCGTGCGTAAAACAGGAAGGAAAAAGGATGATAGTTGAGAAGAATAATAAACACAGACAATTGTTATTCAAAAAGAATGACAAAACATCATGTTTCTTTTTTCAGAACTAATAGATCTATTAGAAGATAATAATTATTCAAGATTGTAAAAATATATTTGTATGCACTTGAAAAAATTTTCATTTACTTGAGTTCACTGATATTCATTTTATGTTTATTGATTATAATTAAATTCAATTAAAAATTGAAATTCATCTATTTATTTTAACAATCAAAACAAGAATAGAATATATCATCTAAATAAAACCAAGCTATTTAAATATGTTTATTATATATCATAAGAAAATAATCAATGAATCGATACTATAAAAATAAAAAAATAAAATTAAGCTGTTCTTTTTTGTTGTTTTCTTCTTATAATTTAATCAACGTAGCTATTATTTGTTATTTCATAACCATTTGATGTTTTGAACAAATAACCAGAAATTATTACTTGCTATATACAAAAAAAAACAACATTATTCTTTAGTTAAGTGCTTTTATATATGATATTTGAATGGCATGAATAGTAAATAAATCAAAAAAAAAGTAGAACAATCAAGATATTTTAGTTTTAAATAACTCAAAACAAAATTTGCAATCAATTAGATCAAATATATTTTAGTCTAGATTATAAATTTGGATATAAGAACAGTAGACAAATTGTTCCTATAATCTCCATATATTATTGCCACAATTAATTCATGTGCAATCAACAGAAAAACAAAAGCCGATTTATTTTACCGATTCGAAAAATTTTAACTTTAGATTTATAGATGTGTATAGAAGTTTCTTTCAATCTCATGAAAGAAACTTTGTTTTTTCTTTAGTGATTAATAGTCTAGTTGTAAGAACAATAGAATAAGAAGTTCATAAGAAACATACATTTATGCATGAATGATGATGTATTTTTTTTCTATAGTTTATTACTAATTGTAATAATTCATCAATATGATCTACATCAGAATTTTTACAAAATATTAAAAAAAAAAAAAGAAAAAAAGAAAAAAAAAAACATCTAAGAATGTCTAAAAATGTGTTGTAATACTAAGAGAAATAGTAATTACAGAGAATCTTTAATGACGAATGAAGAAAAAAAGAAAATATAGACGTCATGTCAAGATCAAAATATATCCGCCTCCATAAAATTGACACTTATGAATATATATGCATCGTTCAATTTGCTTTAACTGATTACTATTACTACAAGTGAGATTGTGTGAAACATGTTGGAAAAAAAAAAGAATTATCTATTCGACAGAGCAAAAGAGAAAAAGAGCTATGAGGGAAAAAAATGGAAAAAGAATATGATTAGGTCTCTTTTTCCCTTACTCTAGTGTGTTCTCCTCTTACATGAAATTTTCTTTCATATAACTAGAATAAAAAATGGCAACACGGGACAAACAAAAAAAAAGAAAATTCATAAATGCATAGAACAGGATATTATAAATGAGGTTTTTTTCTTTGATTTGACAACTTTGTTTCTCAACACGCACATCGATTCATTTTGTCAATACGAACTATAATAATAACAACAATAGTTTATAAAACAAAAACAAAAACGAGTGAAAATGGATCAACGAAGACTATCTGTGTGTGCTAATTTTGTAGGCTATACAGATGCCATGGGATATACTAATCAGTCTAATGTAAGTGTGAAATTTAATCAATTTATATATATATATATATATTAAAAAACATGATGCGATCAAAGCAATAGTTTACTAGATAACATAGAAAGTAGAAATTGTGACAAGTAACAGATGACATTTTAGTTGTCTCACCTGAATAAACCTCGTATAATTTTTGTGAACAATTGTTTTCGTTACCCAAATTAAAAACAAAGCAGATCATTGTTTATTCTCGAGAAATTTTAACAAATTCATAGTGTCAGAACATACATGACGAAAATCTTAATCATCGTATAAATTTCCTTTTTTTCAATATTATTAGAAAACTCAAATAAATTGTAATTAATATATTCAATATTTTTGGTTCTTAATATTATAAATACATCCTTGCATGTCACAAAAAAAAAATAAAAAGAAAATAAAAATGCGGAAGAATTTACTCGACTATGAATAACATTCCGATGAAATATAAATCAAGTTATTTGTTTTCCGTTTGAAGCTATTTCTCTATGAATCGGAAATTAATAAAAATTAAATTGAATAATAAAAAAAAAACCGAAATTAATCTTCGATATTCTATCTCAAGAGAATATTATTTCAATATATTTATTCATAAAAAAAAAGAGAATACAAAAACGTCATTGCATATAATAAATTTGACATCTCATATAAATTATTTAGACTGAACAACGACGTCTTTCTGATGGTCCATCACTTCGATTAGCAAATCATAATTTATATCATCCGAGTGAATTATCTAATGGTGAATCATATATGTTAAAACAAAAAAATTCATCACTTAACATGCTTTTGGATTCAACAAGTTCAATGATGCGTACAGCTTCAACAACATTTCATTGTCTTATTGGATCAGCACGTCGTGCATCATATTGTGGTCAACCTGATCCAACTATACAGTTATCACCACATGGTAATAGTGGTTCACTTTATTTACTTCCAACAACAGCTAATTCAAATGAATCATCATTATCAAATGCATCACATGAAGATCACAGACGTACAGTGACTATATATGATGGTCGAATTCCAGCTACACCAACACAACCAACAATTCCATTTGAACTTATGACACCAATTGATCTTATAACTCAAACAATAGAAGATCCAGTTGAATCATTTGTTCAAATTGTACTTGAAGAACCTGATGATCGACCACCAATAATACATTCGATGTCATCATCATCGTCATCACCTCGAAATTCATCATCATCTCGACGTCGACATCGTAGTAATTCACCAAGATCATCAGCATCATCGTCAGAAAAAAAAATAACTGATACAAAATCCTTACCAACTACAGAAATATTTAATTCATCAGAAACTTATTATCAACCACCATCTGATATTTTTGAACCAATGGATTTTTCATTTCTTGAACCTGTACTTCGAGGTGAAAGTGCTGCACCACCACCATCAAAACATACTCAAAAATTACAACAAATTTCACCTCCAAATAGTTCAATAAGTGAAGATTCACCTATTGATATTCGTTCTCCATCACGTACAATAACTATTGTTACAGATGGTTTAACATTACCAGAATTATTCGCTGATAGTAATAATGATAATAATTTAACAACTAATTCAATTATATCATCTTCTCGTTTAAAAGTACCATCATCAATTGATTAAAAATTATATATTGTTTTTCTTTTCGTTTTATTCATATTGTTATAAAATATTTATTTTTAAATAAGAAAGAAAAAAACAGATGATAATTTTGTTACGCCTTTTTTTGTTTGTAAAAGATTTGCTTTGCAATTCTGTACGAAAGAATAAGTTTTATTCGAAAACTACTGATCTCTTCATATCTTTGAACAACAGCATAATTAAAAATTACTATTATATACAACTTTCAAATCCTTCACTTGCTTCGATGTTTTCCAAAAATATCTAATTCCTGAATTAATTTTTGACGTGATACGTTCTTCAATCAAGTAATCAACTAAATCGACCTCAATATATGGGTTGAAATGTGCTAATTTATCTCTTGTGACACGAACACATCATACTACTATATAAAGATGAAGAAATTAATAGTTTTTGAGTCAAACTTAACGTTTTGTGCAGAATTAAATGGTGAATCTTTGAATAAAAAGGTAAAGCATAAACTATAAAAAACGACTGAGATATCCATTAAATACTGAGATCGCAATTTATTCTGGGCCATCCGTCAGAACAAATAATTTTGAAATCAATGCAATATATAATGATTCTTTAGGTTTATTGGCTTGTTTTTTTTTTCTTCAGAGAAGTAATCAATTCGACCTTTTGAAAAGTATCATTTATATCAAAATATTTTGTAAAAGAAAATGCTACATCATATCTTTTGTATAAAAACATGCGTTGAATGTTATATTATCATGACCTATGGGTTGTAAAAGATTATGCGAAAATCATTGAGAGATGCAACAACATATCGATTTAGAAATAAACAAAACGACAATTGATCGCATGTTTGACGAAAGTCTAGTTTCTATTTCACTTCCCACAAACCTCAATATGTAGATATATGATTCAATCACATACAAAATCACGCGAGGATGATGAAAGTGTCATCCAAAAAACGAAGATCTACCCTATGATGAAATGGACTCGTAGATGAATATTGATTGTTGCATAGCAAAAATCGCAATAAACAGAAGCTACAAAATAAGAAAAAAATTATCGAAAATTATGAAAACTATTTAAAGCAATTACATGTAAGGCTTCATGCCCAATTAAAAGAACTCACTAAACATTCGTATTTATACTCATATCTAATTTTTGTTGTCGTTGAATAGATTGCTAGTTATTTTCTGAACCCCTCTGAATTATTTCTCCATAATGCTAAGAAAATTTTTTTTTACTGATTTTGTTTTTCAGCATTGTGACTAATAGTCATAGCGACTAATTAACGCCATCTAATTGTCATAGACTCTTAAAAATAAATTGTCCTTATGTTCATTTAGTCTAATAATAGTTTCATTGTCTCTATCATCAATAACTTCTTATAATCGTTTGTTTATAGATGATGTTTTTTTTGTTAAAGATAGACATGAACAAGATGGTTCTACTCATGTCTACGATCATCGCTCTGTAGTGATAGAACTGTAAGATAAACAGAATTTTGCATCGTATTTGTACAATACTGATAAAAAAATATACGATGGACGTATTTTTAATTTTTTTTTCTACGATACAAGGTATTTAATTCAAATTCAAATAGTGGTTTGCATAGCCAATGAAGTTTTCTATCAAATACTTCCCTTAAAAAATTATAAGCATCACGAAATACAAAAAAAAATGCGTTTTTTAGCAATGCTATGATAAATTTTGCTTTGCGATGTTTATAACTTTTTAAGAGAAGTTCGTAGAAAATGTAGCAATCCCTCATTTGATTCAGGATTTTGTGCTCTTTATTATGGTACTCTTAAAAAGTAATTTTTAGAAAGTCTTTTGGAATCTAAAAACCAGCGTGTTTAATTTTTCAGAAACCTTTCTCACATCGTCCATCAATAAAATTTCGTTATAGGATGTAATTGATAGAATACTTCATTGGCTATGCAAACTACTATTTAGATTTAAGTTCAATACTTAGTATCGTAGAAAAAAATATGTTGGTCTTACATTTCTGACCAGTTAACTATTGTCAAATATTATGATAAAAGTTCAATATTGAAAATTCTTTCGAATTAAACTATTTAATTTTTCGAATGTATGTTTTGAAGAATTGTTTTATATTTGAGCAAGATTTTATTAATATGAAAAAAAGTCAATGTTACATGAAATTAAATCCTTAGTCTTCATCAATTTTATAGATTATTATGATTCACATATCTAGTTGATTACGATACTAATTGCACGTATAAGTTATAATTTAAAATATTTTTTCAGCGTCAATCAAAGAAAAAAAAAACTTATCAAATATTTATAAAATAATTATATGCGTCTAGGTTTCTATCGACTATTTTTATCTTCTCATGATTTTCTTTTAGATCAACAAAACGGAAAAAGAAAGGAGTCATAGAAAAAATTTTAGCCGTCTATGACTACATATATTTACGGACTTTCACTCGATAGTTCAACAATAATTACCATGCTATATTAGACACAACGACAAAAAATCTTCCCTAGTAAAATTAATATGACTCGATATCTAAATGTTCCATACAAAAAAACCAGCATATGCAAGTAAACACACAATAAGATATTCGATTTCTAATAACTCTATAGAAAAACTTTCCATGAAATCAAGGATTCCTTTTTTTTTTTGTTTTTTTTCATCATGAAATACAATACAAAATTATCTTTGTTTAAGAAAAACTTGTTAAAATTTTTCTCAAAATTTTTATTCACAAAAAAAAAAAACGAAAAACTACAAAGAAAAGAAAAAGTGAATGCATGTCATCATTCATACAGTTATTTTGTACATTCATCATCTTCATCAATTCCACAACTAGAAATGAAAAACACACTACAATGAAAAATGTTTTACAAATATTGTAACTATGAGACAAAAAGTACGCGCACATAGTACAAGACTAAACTATAGAAATAATATAAAGTGATTAAAAATGATTTAGCTGTTACAAAAGAAAAAAACACAGATACGTCACAAAAAAAAAAGAAAAGAAAATCCTTAAAAATGAAAACAAAACAAAAACAAAAGAGACACTAAAATGAATTAAAATTAAATTTTTTCAACAAGATCATCAAGATCATCCCAGCTTTCTTGACTTGGTGCATTTCCAATTGAATTTGTACCATCTTCAATCATAGCTAATTGTTCCATAGCATCTAACACACTGCCATTTTCTGTTTGAACATCAACTAAACATTGACTTTCAGTCGTTGTTGTTGTTGTTGTCTGTGTATCACCTGTTATAGTTGTAACTTGTTCTTGTGTAACATTTTTATTTATTTGTGTTTGATGATTATTTGTTGTAATTGTAATTGTTTTTTCTTGTTGAATGGTTGTTGTTGTTGTTTGATTAGCTGCCATTTGTTTATCTTTTCGAATCATAGCCGATGCTGTTGCTGCTGTTGATTTAGCTTTTGTATCAACAACAGGATCATCTTCAAAATCTGATCTTAACCATTCAATCATATCTGTAAATAAGCAAACACCATTTTGTGTTGGTTTTATTTGTAACATTGACATTTCATATGGATCATTTAAATCATTATCATCAATAAAATCTTCCTCTTTATTATTATTATAATCTAAGAAATTTGATGCATATTGTTGTTGATGAATTTTATAATGATTACGTAAACGTATTGCTGATGGTATATATTGTTTACAAATTGAACATATACGTGAAGATAATTTTATTTGTAATGATGGACAACATGCATCAAATGGTAATAAATCATTATGTGTACGATTAATAACAATACCATGAAATTGTATACGTTGAAAAAGATTACCATAAAATGGTGATACAGGATTTATTATTGCCGATGATGATTCAATTTCAGCCATTTTAACACCACGTGATGAACGATTAAATGGTACTGGTGGTGGAAGAAAACGATGTGGAAATACTTGAATATAATTTGAACGCCATGGTGTACAACATGATGGATTATTACAACGAATTATTTGAATTGTATATTGAGTGTGAAGAACATGTGTTGCACACCAATATCTTAAATGAAAATAATTAGTAGTCTAATAATCTTATCTCGACTATCAAGTTTATTTTGACCGAGATCAATAGTTTTTCATTGAGAATGATATCTTTTATGATTGTGTAAAACTTGCATAGAATATCTTATAGATATGAGTAAGATGGACCCGATTACAGTTCTGTTGGGATTGGGACCAAAACTAACTGGTACGGGCTCATGTCTACTCTAAATATGTTCAAAATTTCTTACTCATCAATGTCACATTCAGTCTTGATTTCTGTTGTTGGAATCGTTGGAGTTGTACGTGTTTGAGTAACACGTTGATCAAGTGGTGCTTCTTCATCTTCTTCAGAACAAATTCTATAAAAAAAACCATACGACAATTTCAAATATTTGAATTGAACTTTTTTTGTTAAAATAACATACCGATCAATGATACTATCCAAAGTTAATGTACTATCAACCATTTTAAGTTGTTCATCAATTAATGGTGGTGGATTAATATATTCAGCAACAACAGGATATTCATCAAGTACATTCATACTCCAAACTTCAGCCAAAACATCAGCAGTCATTTTAAAATTTTGTTTTTCTAATTCGGCATGTTCAGTTGAACCTGCATCATTTAAATGTGTACCAAAATGATCATGTGGAAGAATAAGACCAGCTAAATCATGTGACATAGGTGATAAACGTCGTTCAACAATATTAAATAAAGCTTGACCTGGTGCTTGATTTATAATAAAAAGTCCATCTAAATTATATTTTTTAAATTTATCAATAGCTGTTGAAAGTGTTTTAGGATAACGTGTATTATTTTCTAAACCATTACTATCAACATTAATAACAACAATAGGTTTAACTCGACCAAGATGATCACGTGCAACTTTTTCAAATTCTTTTAATTGAACTAAACGATCAAAATCAATAGCATGAGTTTCATGTGTTAATCGATCATGCTTAGCTGATCGAATTGAAACATATGTTGGACCAGCATTACCAATTAAACCTGTATCATCAATAATTGATGCACCATAAATACTAAAAGACAATAAGATTTGCAAAAATAAAAATAAAACATTATTTAAAAAAATATTGATTTACCATGGTGTAAATTGATGTTTAGCAACTGGAGCCGTTTCTGGTTCAATTAAACTTTGTTCATAATCCAAATGCATAATAAGTGGTGCTTGACCTTTAGCTGAAGGTCGACCAATACTAACTTTAGCTTTTGTATCTTGTGTTAAATAAAAGACACAATCATTACCAAATATTCCTGCTAAATCTTTAATATGTCTTAATGCAGCAGCAGTAAAATGCGAATCTAAATACAGAAAAAAAAATGTTTTTATTTTTAATAAAAATTATTTACGAGATAATCCTCTCTTTTGGACTACTTCTATAGAAAAAAAATTTTAAAGGTAGATCTTCAAGATTTTCCGAATAGATCTTGAAAAATCATCGAATCTTCTTACGATCTCAGTCTTACTTTGTTTGATTCAGCTGAAACTTTTTTCTGGAGACAATGTCTCACAAGAGAAGTCCTCCGACTGTTCAATAGAAGGCTATTTGCATTTTGTAGATCTCAATGAACATCTTGAAAAGAGTTCGTGCTCTTAGCGTATTGCTGCTAAGATATTGCACCTTTATGTGGTTCTCCTCAAGAACATCAGAAAGAATTATTTTCGAATTTCGACTTGAAACTTTGGATAAAGAAAGGTGTCCATAAGAATAATTTTTTGTTAATGTTTCAGGTCTTGTCACTATTTCTATCCTAAGATATGACTATGATGATAGTATGTCTTTTACATTACACATATAAACTGACAGATTTGATGTTCTTACTTCAGAATAGCGGCAAATCAAAAAAACGGGAACTACTCTCGTTAAAGCCTGTTTCTATGCTAAGTTTCAAGTCCAAATTCGAAAACTATTTTTTCTGTGTTCGTGAGAAGGACTACATAAAATTCCAGTATCTCCGTAGCAATAAGCTAATAGCATGAATTCTTTTCAGCATATTCATAGTGCATTGAGATCTACAAAATACACATAGCCTTCCATTGAACCGTCGGAAGACTTTCTTCGTGAGACTTTATTCCAGAAAAAGTTTCGATCTGATCGGATAAAGTAAAATTGGGGTCATAAATAGGTCCAATAATCTTTGAAGATCCTTTCAAAATTCCCTGTAGACCTGCTGTTAAAATTTTTTCCTTCAACATAGATTTCATCATTTTTGATAATCTAATCAGGATAGAAATGTAAACCCAATCCTCGAGAACTAGATAGCAGCGCTGTTACTAAAATCAAAAGTAGTCAAAAAGAGAGGAGGAGGTGACATCCTTAGAAAAAAAAAATGAACCTTCATGCTTTGGTGGTTCTTGAATTCCTTGTAATTTTCGAAGACGAACAGGTACAGTTACGACATGTTTTTTTCCATCATGAGATAAAGCACGATTAGGCATAAGACTAAAATAGAAAAATTACATTTTTTCAAAAATATTTTAATTTGTTTTTTTTTAATTTATTTACCGATAATAAAGTGAAGATTTTCGAATTTCATATCCACGTTCTTTAATTTTATCTTTTAAATCATCTAATGATACACATGCTTTGCCTTTATTATCAGATGCACCACCAACACGTGCAATTTCAGCAATAATTTGTAAAAGATCTGGACAATCTTCATCAATTTGCATACCTCTATTTGATGGTCGGAAAATTTTCGATAATTCAGCAGCAACTTCAGGATTAGATGCACATAATTGTTCAACACGACGTTTTTTTCTTTCACGATAACGTGTTGATGCACGTTGTTTTGATTGAAGACGTTTAAGATCTGTTGTACGTTGTTTTTTTTGTTCAATTAATTTTTTTAATGTTTTTTGATTTTCTGGTGTTAATAAACCCATACTTTTAACTTGAATTAAATTAGCAATACGTTCAGATATTTCTTTAAGATCTTTTAATACAGATTCTTGTGCTGGTGTTTTAATTTTGTCAATTTCAGCTTTTGTTGCTTTAGCTTGTGCTTGTGCTTTTTTCTTAGCAGCTTTTTCATTTGAACGTGCAATCCATGGTTTTTCTTTAGCTAATGTTTCAGCATCCATATCATCAGTTGATGTATTCTTACGTTTAGAAAATGTTGGTGTTTCAGATTCGACAACATTTGGATCATAATTTGGATCATCATCTTCTGATGAAAGTGTACGTTTACGTGTTGTTTTTTTTGTTGAACCTTTTTTTCCATTTGTTGTTGGTGTTGATTGTTTTGTTTCAACTGTTGTTGCGCCGGATTTATTCCATGTATTAAGATATTCAGTGATTTTTTTTCGTACTAATTCTTCATCTTTTTTTATTTGATTCCATTCTGTTTGTGCACTATGATGTGAGGTCTTCATTAAAAAAAAATATATATGTATTTTTTTCTTTAATAAATTTTAATTTTAATACTTACACATCGTGTCATTTCAGGATGACCTTTCATGTAAGCATCGACAAATTCTCGATATAAACAATATCGAGGACTTTTATGAGCCATAGTTTTGTATTCTTAAGAAATCTAACTAAGTTGATGTGATACAAATAATGTATGAGATGGAGGGGGTACCTAAACGACAACGATGACCGATCCTATAAAGAAGTAGATAGTCGACTGAACGCGAGGCAAATGAACAGAAGAAAAAAATACGAGAGAAGAGTTATAACGAACACAAGCACAGAATTTTAATGATCACCAGTATAAGCAAGAAAAAATATAGAGAAAGACGACGTGACCGTAAGATGACCCCTTCGATAGAAGCACATATGAACTGGACGTGATCAACGTGCATATCTATTGGTGCAAAGAAATTTCGTAGTGTAGAATAGAAGGAAAAAAAGGACATGACTACAATCATATATACATATATATGACCTCCGTAGTGGCAACAGCATAGTCATTTACAATCGAAGGTTATGTCTGTTGCATATCATATACTGAAGTCAACGAAAAAAAAAAATTATTTTATTCTTGTTTTTAAACATCAATATAACTATATGTCACATGAATTCAAATGAATTTGAATATTTAATAATAAATATCATGATTTTTGTGATAGAACATAAACAAAAATATTCATTAGAATAAATTTTGTCCATATTACAAGAGTCAATTTAATAATGAATATGAATTATGTGTTGACTATGTGCAACTACAAGGTTCTATTACTATGCATAGTAGGATTATAAACATATGATCAATTTGATTATGATGACATAATAGAATAGATTTTGATTATCTATATTCTAATATGAATTCTAGGCAATTTGTTCTATGAGTTAAACTAATGAATTACAACATTCTAAAAACAAATCTTACGATTATATAGCTTTTGAGTATCAAGAAATCTTTACTGAGAAGTTGTTCTAAAGAATCTCTATTTGATGGTGTATTTTTTTTAAATACAAGTATTATATTGAATTATTCTACATTATCGATTTTTTAACGAAGCCAATGATCCACATCGATCTTGTTCCTATATTAAAAACGAAATCATACAAAAATGAATACATTCTAAATTTAGAATATTCGTTTTTATCTTCAAGACATAAGATAACGACTGTTTCTCTCATCTTCTTTTTCAACTTCTTTACAAGATGCATCGAACACTCGAAAGTCTCTGCAGTCATTTTAAAAAAAGGTCAACAATGTTCAGAAATATTCGAACTCGGACTTAGCGGCAAAAAAAGAGTAAAATGCAATGATATATCTTATCTAAAAGAGTGATTCGTGTCTTGGATACTACAGATCAGTATTGGTTGAAAAAATCGATTGAATGTTGTGAATAGATAATTTTTGAACAATTTCGATAAATTGGATTACTATTAACAGTTATTTTGTACTGCACATGATCGACATAATAAGTAAATCGTTCGGAAACTTTTGAAAGATTTATTCAATGTGTTTCTGTTTAAGATAACAAATTTATTAAATATGATACTAAATTAGGACATCTAATAAAATCCAGATATAAATAATCATAATAGTCGAAACGTAGTCAAATGAATTTGTAAATGATCCTACTTCATTCAGGACAAAGTTATCATATACATATAAATCGAGTACCATATCTACTTTAATAGAAACTACCGACATTAAAAGTAGATATGCACTAGTCCCACTTAGAATAGTATCCGATTGGACGAGTATTATTGATTTGAACCCTCAGTAAAACTGATAAGAAGTCGCATTGATGTGCAGTCGATTTGACATCCGGATGTGCTGTTACTCAATCAAACTGGTGAATACCTAATTAAAAATTCGCCAATTTTTCTTTCTAGTGACATATTATTTTATATGAAGTTGAAAAAAAATAAGACAACAATCTGAATTTAGGAATCAAAATGTTTTATCAACTAAACAATTGTATATGAGTGAAGAACACAACTGTTGTATCAGTCGAGAGGAAAAAATCGACAAAAAAATAAATTTAATGATAACAGAAAACTAAGTGTTGTAGTTAATAGAGCTATGCAGTGTGTGTACAAAAAAAGACTTTCTCAACACTTTTCTATGTCAACGTTTGAATCAACATTAGAGTCCATTGAGTTGGTTCCAGATCCGACGGGTCCGAGTCCGAATATTTTATTCCTGATCCACTCTAGTCGTCTGAGAAATGTGTAGAGTGCGCTAGTCATCGCATATAAAAATCCAGAAAACAAACCATCTAGTATCTTCGGGGAGACTATCTAATTTTGATTAGAGAATTTCATATAGAGTATCAAAGTACGATTCGACTTGGTCCGGATCAGAAAAATTTCAATCGGCCAATTCCAGATCCAATAAACGTACAATAAATCGGATCTCGGTTCAAAAATTTTGAAATGAACCAACTCTAATCGGTAACCATATCGTTTATTTTGTTGAAATTCATAATAAACTTTGGCGATATCGATGATCACGATTAATAAGTGCATTCTTTTATTGAAAGTCTTGTTAAGTTAGTGCTAGATACATTTTTCAGATTTAATAGAGGTACGAAAATAATGATATTGTGAATTAAAGTGTGGGTGTGTGTGAAGAAGAGACTTGCACTCTCGTGCTCACCCCCCACCCGTTTCTGAAGTTTTTGATTGTGTTAGTTTTTACTTTAAACTTGACGAATAATTAAAAAAAGATGAGGTTTTATCCCCGGCTTTTTAATCTAAAAAAAAAACAGTTAATAATAAGCTACCCGCAACGGGAAGATCACGGCTGTGCAGTTTTTTTCATTCATAAGAGTATAAGAGGTAGAGTCATTTGACTGAAAGAGCATCCTTACTTGCCGCAGAAACTTTCTTAATCAAAAAGAAGGAAGCCCCTGATCGAGACTTTCTCATTGCACATGAACAACCTTGACACCAGTGAAAGACTCACAGAGAGTTTGCTCGAGTAGATCATCCTCCACAGTGAGCTGCGCGTTGGTATATGATTCCTTCATCTAAATAATATTCGATCAGGTTGGAAACATCTCCTGAGCAATTCTTTTCTGATTCAATATGCAACAACATCATCGAATCTCCTTTTTTTAAAATTTCGTTCATGAAAATTGTTGCAATGATTCCATCGACTCAGGTCAGAAACTCGACTCGAAATCAGTCTTTTCTATCACAAAACATTTTTTTCTCTTTCTTTCTGCATACGATGCCGAACCATAGATGAACGTGTCATTACAACAAGGAGAAAGACAAGGTCATGAAGCGAATTGAAGAAGCAGAAACTAAATGTCTGCAGTAGATCTCTGTGGTACATTAGATCATGAATATCTCCATCACACTAAGAGCTGAAATTTTTTTTTTGTAGTTTTAGTTCAATGGATACTCTGTTTTGGGATTATCATTGTCCGAAAACATAGAATTTAATTCAGTGCCGTTTTCGCTGTGAACCTACAGAGGTATTATAGTGCTCATATGGGAATGGGAATCTACACTATTAGCGAAGGGAATTTTTTTTTTCTTTGCACTGTCTACTTTCAAATCATATCAGTAGTCTACTCTGAAATTTCCAGTTCGGTAAACGACCCACGAAAAAAGTTCATATTTCTGTAGTGAAACTTTCTGAAACTGTCGATACCATTGGATTTTTCTATGCATTTAATGGAATTTTTGGAATTTTCTTGAGCTTCCTTATTAGAGTTAGCATTGTAAGATTGTTGTCCATTCTTTGAGTTCTACAAGATGTCTACCGTCTTTTCGCATATCCTTTCTACACTTCTATTTGATATCTACATGGCAATCTTTTAAATCGATCTTTCATTGTCAACATGAATAACAATAATAGACTAATATTCCTTTATCAAAAGACTGAGAACAAAGAACAAAAGTTGCTTCTATGTCCTCATAACGTTGCAATCATATTTGGCTGGGTGTACATAAAAACAAGGGGGGGGGGAGGGAAGTTGATATCTTGATTGCTTTGATTGTCCCTGCTAATCAAGTGGTAATCAACGGCAATTAATAGCAATCAAGTAACAATATAGCAGGATCTTTGTGCCATTGATTGCCTTGAGTGCAATCAGCTTTTTCCCTTGGTGATAATACATCTTTTTTCATAAAATAAATGTTTCTACAAAAACTTTCAAACTTTTTGGGTATATCAAAAGGTACCCAAATCAAAGGAAATTCAGATTCTATTTGTTTCTTCATCATTTCATAGCATTCAATAATTCTATGTAATTAATTTTTTATTAATAAAACATGTTGTTGGTATAAATGGGATAGAACAGGACAAGCATTCATACGTAACTACAATGCAGAAAAATTTTTATTATAAAGCTATTAATGAGAGTCAAAAAAACGAAAAGTTTGAAAATAATGGGAACAAAGAGTTGTGCGTTTACAGGACATGGACTATGACATGGATGTTATTGTTGAAGTTTTAGTGCGAGAGTAAGAAAAAAAGCTGCACTATAATATTAATAAACGAGATTAGTATTAAGGGAAAGCTGTCTTAATAATAAATGTGAGTGAATTAAACTTTGATGACTTCAATTTTGTTGCCTTTAGCACTTGTACGGGTATCATTAACATGTAATAATTTACCCTTATCATCTTCAATTCTTGCACTTAATGTTAAACCATGATCAGGTACTTTGCTTGCTTCTTCTTTTTGATATTGAATATCAAAACTAATCGGAAATTTTTCTCCTTTTTTCAAAGTTATTTGTTGTTGACCAAGTGTAATAGCTGGTGCGCAAGCACGACTTGTATCTTGAATCGATATTGTTATTGTTTCATTACCATTAAATGTATCACCTTCACAGCCGCCTTTTCCAACAACAGTGCCTGTTGCTTTCGCTGCCATTTTTGTCTGCAGATAATGTCGATTTGTGTGCACAAAAACGTGAATATTTTGTTACAACGACAGTAGGCAACATATGAGTATTTATATAATCGAGTTTCTTTTTTTCTGTTCCTTTTTTCTCTCCTTTTTTCTCTGCAGGATACTCGAGAGACATTTTACTCTTTTTTATACTATTTTTCTGCTACAAAAACGATGAATCAGAAATGAATATAGAACAT